GTGGCGGCGAGCCCCGCGGGGGCCGCCAGCACCACCCGCCCTACCACCAGCAGCATCACCAGGGGCCCCCGCCCAGCGGGCCCGCCGCCCGCACCGAGGAGAAGATATCCGACTCGGAGGTGAGTCGTCCCACGAGCGCGCCGTCCGGTCCCCTAAGATGGCGGCGCCTCCCTACCCTCGGCGTGTGTGTTTTTTTTTTTTTCTTTCCCCCGCCCGCGGCAGCGCAGGCCTCCATTTTGTTGCCTGCCGGAAGCGCGCCTGCGCATGCTCGCGAAGGCGGGGCTGCCGGCCGGCCGGCTGGTCGGCGGGGAGAGCAGTTCGCTAGGGATTGGTTTCCAGCGGGAGGGCCGCGGCCGCCGCTGCTGGCTTGGCGGTGGGGTTGCCAGCCCCCGGGGACTGTGCCGGTGCGATGCGGTGCTCGTGGAGAGAGTTTTAGTGCAGTTCCGGGCCCCGGTTCGTCCTTGTCGATTCTCTGGTTGACGTCAGCAAGTGTTGTTGATTGACATTGGCTGATAACGGCGCGTGTGTTTCAAAGCCTTTTGTCTGGTCGCGGCCTTTCCGATGTTCGAGTCGGTGATCTTGTTGCATCCCCCCCAGTACGGTACAACTTGGTTTTGTTTGTGTGGGAGAAAAAAAGAATATCGTTACGAATGGGTCTAAGATAGGGCCTGTTCGGGACAACCAGAACTGGTTTTGTTTGTTTTTGCTTTTGTTTTCTGCTTTGGTGTCTGAATTCCAGTTTTTTCATTAGGGATTTAAAGCCAACTTGTCTCTCTTGCGGAGGCCTGGAGAAAAAACTTACACACAGCGCTGTCGGTTGTTTGTGGGGAACCTACCTGCTGATATCACAGAGGATGAATTCAAAAGACTGTTTGCTAAATACGGAGAACCCGGAGAAGTTTTTATCAACAAAGGCAAAGGGTTCGGGTTCATTAAACTTGTGAGTGTATTTGGTTGTTTTTTTATAAACATATACGTAATAAAAAATGTTTGGGTTTCTTTTTTTTCTTTTGCAAAGTCTTGCAAGTTTGATTTTAAACTTCTTCCCAGTTTTAAACTTCCCAGTTACTGGGAAGAAGTAACTGGCCTTGAAATTTTTCGTCATCGATACAGATCAGTATAGTATGTACTGGGGCAGAGCAACAAAGACCTTTAGTCCTCGGGGTGTTGGAAGGGGCTGCGGGAAGATGATGCTTCAGTTGAGTGAGTTGTAAGAAAAGGAAGGGGTATGACAAATTGGACATTAGCTAGATTTGGAGTTGTTTAAAAATGTTTCTGATATTTACAGGAGTCTAGAGCCTTGGCTGAAATCGCCAAAGCTGAACTTGATGATACCCCCATGAGGGGTAGACAGCTTCGGGTTCGCTTTGCCACACATGCTGCAGCTCTTTCTGTTCGGAATCTTTCACCCTATGTTTCTAATGAACTGTTGGAAGAGGCCTTTAGCCAGTTTGGCCCCATTGAGAGGGCTGTTGTCATTGTGGATGACCGTGGACGATCTACAGGGAAAGGCATTGTTGAATTCGCTTCAAAGCCAGCAGCAAGAAAAGCATTTGAAAGATGCAGTGAAGGTGTTTTCTTACTGACAACGTAAGTTGTCTTTTGCTTATGATAAATGTTTGATAATTTTGGGGGTTACAAATAAAGTTGGAAGGAAGTTAAGGTGAGGAATCATTTCTGTTACTAGGACGCCTCGCCCAGTCATTGTGGAACCTCTTGAACAGTTAGATGATGAAGATGGTCTTCCTGAAAAACTGGCCCAGAAGAATCCAATGTATCAAAAGTAAGATTAAGCTTTCTGGTGCTCTAAAAGAAAAGTTAGTAATTTTATATTCTGCTTAGGAGTTATGAAATTTTTAGTCTGGCTGTGTATGTCTGGTTGCTGTGAAAATCCCTTATGAAGGCCAAGTTTACCAAAACCTTGACCAAATCCTGACTTCTGTCTCAAGTGCTGGAATTATAGATGTGAGCCATCAAGACAAGTCTTAGGATATGTTACAATGTTGCTTGAATATGCTTAATAAATCTCAGGCTCAGAAAAAATTTTTAGTTTTGGGATTTGGGGTGGAGTAGTTTTGGGTTTTTAGAAACAAGGTTTCTTTGTAAACCTAGCTGTCCTGTAACTTGCTTTGTGAAAGACCAGGATGGCCTTCAAACCCAGGAATCGACCTATCTCTGCCTTCTAGAGTACTGGGACTAAAAGCCTGTGCCACCATGTCTGGCTTCAGGCAGAACTTGAAGGTGTTCAGTTTAAATACATTCACATGTGTTTCAGATATATGCTTAAATTAAATTGCATGAGATCTGTTTGATATTGTTGGGAAAAAATAGGCCTGGACAATTAGGCTATAGGAAATAGGGAAGGTGGGGTTTCTTATCTACCTATCACTGTATTATTATTATTATTACTATTATTATTTTTAATTTTAATTTTTTTAATTTAGACATAGGATCTCCCTGTGGACCAGACTGGCCTAGAACTCATGCATCATCATGCCTTTCTTCTGGCTTCTTGCTTTATTTTATATCATAACTTGTTTCCTTGATTCGATACAATTAGGTAAATAATTCATGGTTACAAGTGTGCATTTATCTAGGAGGCAAGTTCCAGGTCAGCCAGGACTACACAGTGAGACATTGTCTCAAAAAGGGGAGGGGATTATAAAGAAGATAGTATGAGACTGAGCGAAGGCTTCAGGGGAATGAAAGTGTTGGTAGAAATCCTCTGTTAAGCAGTGTCTGCAAAGTACAATTTAATTTTTAATGTGTGTGGATGTTTCTCTGCATGTATGTCTGTGCACCATGTGTGCCTGCTTCCCAAGGAGGCAAGAAGAGGGTGCTAGGAACCAGGTCCCTTGTAAGGACTGCTGTGCTTTTTTCCCCACCTGCTAAGCCGTCTTTCCAGTCCCTTTCACCATCATTCTGATTCGTGTCTTGTGATTCTTAACACAGTTGAGCAGGATTGCAAGTTAAGGGATCTTACAGACATCACAGTGGTATAGAGAAAGCACCATGTCTTGTGTTTCTTTGTCCATCCTTGGTGCTGGGGGTCAAATCCAGGGCATTGTTCATTATGCTACATGCTTACACAAGTGCTTTACTACTGGGCCATATCCTTACACATACTTACTATTTTCCTTGTCAGGATTTCTCTGTAGTCCTGACTGTCCTGGAACTCAGATCTGCCTGCCTCTGTCTCCCCCGAGTGCTGGAATTAAAGGCATCATGCCTAGGTTAAAGTTTTGATTTTTAGAAAGGTAATACTACATTCTCACATTGGCTTTATATAAATTTTGTGTTGTCAGGGAGAGAGAAACACCTCCTCGTTTTGCTCAGCATGGCACATTTGAGTATGAATATTCTCAACGGTGGAAGTCCTTGGATGAAATGGAAAAACAGCAAAGGGAACAAGTTGAAAAAAACATGAAGGATGCAAAAGATAAATTGGAAAGTGAAATGGAAGATGCCTACCATGAGCATCAAGCAAATCTTTTGCGCCAAGGTAAAAAAAAAAAAAGCCTCAGAATTTTACTGGTAAGGATCAGTTGGCCTTTAAAGTGGCAAGAACCTCATTAACACGAATCTCAAAGTGTTAATTTCCAATGTTTAGATCTGATGAGACGACAGGAAGAATTGAGGCGCATGGAAGAACTTCACAGTCAGGAAATGCAGAAGCGTAAAGAAATGCAATTGAGGTATAGTGTTAAATCCAGCCTTCACTTCCACCTTGTAGACAAGATGTACTAAGTGCCTTAGGAAAGCTTATTCTTTGCCAGAATGCTGCTGTCTGTAGAGTTATGTTCTACGCTTGGAACAGTATAGCTTGACCTACACATTTTAAAATTATAAGACAAACCACTACTAGCTCTTTTCAAGTTTTTTTTTTTTTTTTTTGGTTTTTCGAGACAGGGTTTCTCTGTGTAGCTTTGCTCCTTTCCTGGAACTCACTTGGTAGCCCGGGCTAGCCTCCAACTCACAAAGATCCGCCTGCCTCTGCCTCCTGAGTGCTGAGATTAAAGGCGTGCGCCCGGCTTCAAGTATTTTTTTTTGAATCAAGGTACTGTTGCTGTGTGGCACTAGCTAGCTTGAGATCCCTTTCCCTCTTCTTTTCTCTTGAGCACAGTTTAAAGGCAAGGGCCACCATAACTGGCTGACCTCTTAAGTATAAATTCTAAGGGTATAGATGACACTTTGGTTTATATGCTTGAAAAACATTTGTAGACAAGAGGAGGAACGGCGTAGACGAGAGGAAGAGATGATGATTCGCCAACGAGAGATGGAAGAACAAATGAGACGCCAGAGAGAAGAAAGTTACAGCAGGATGGGCTACATGGACCCCGTAAGTTGTGTGTCCAGTCTAATTGGAGCTGTCTGGGGCCTCCCTGGGGCAGGGGACAGTTAGCATGAAGTTGATTTGGTGCCTTCTTCAGTGCAGCTGTCTGTCGTGTGTTGTGTGTGGTAATCACCATAACCAGATCTCACTGGATCAAATTTTGTTTGTTCTTATTTTTTCTTGTGTAACACCTCTGGCCTCTATCTTAGAGGTCCACCTGCCTTGTCCTCCCTGGTTCTGGGATTACAGGCATGCACCACCACCTCTCACCTTTTTGGAGTTTTATTTCTTTGTTTTGATAGTCTAACCAGTGTTCAGGACACTCGCAATCAGAGAAGCATGCTTTTTTGAGCCTTGAATTGTTTGGTGTGTGTGTTTGTACTTTGAGGCAAGGTCTTGCTCTGTAGCCTTGGCTGGCCTAGAATTCTCTATGTATACTAGAGCTACACTGGTGTCAAACAGTGAGCTTCCTGCCTCTGTCACCCAAGTGCATGGAATTAGAAGTGTGTCCCTCCAAGCCTGGATACATTTCTTGTGTTGAACTTTCTTTGTACTTGAGTACTTGACTTGGTGTAAGTTTCACCTATAAGTAAGAGTTTTAATTTTGTACTTTTTTTCCCCCCAGAGAGAAAGAGACATGAGAATGGGTGGTGGTGGAACAATGAACATGGGAGGTAAGTGAGAGGATTCAGTGGAGGGTGTTAACACGGCGCAGCAGTGCTCTGGTGGTGCTGACTACTGTTTTTGTCTCCCAGATCCCTATGGTTCAGGAGGCCAGAAATTTCCACCTCTAGGTGGTGGTGGTGGCATAGGTTATGAAGCCAATCCTGGAGTTCCACCAGCAACCATGAGTGGTTCCATGATGGGAAGCGACATGGTAATGTATCCTGTGGGACATAGTACAAAGGAAATGCTTAATTTCATGACTTGAGTGTTTTATTTTTTCCTCTCTCTTTCTCTCTTTAAAGTAGCTGACTGGACTTTTAGTTTCCCCCATTGTGTAAATATATATAATACTGAGGACTACTTTGGCAATGTAGAACTGTGTGTGGTAACCTAACAGATCTGGTTGCCAACAAGGAGTCAATGCTGCTGTATATAGAGTTATCTTTGGCAATAAGTAGATAGGTTTATTGTCTGTGCACTTTGGAACCCCAGTGCATGGCAAATCCAAATTTTTAGATGCTAGGTAATTGTATATGGTTTGTCTTCATCCAAGTGAGAGAAATGGCACAGTGCCATTCTTCGAGCTGGTATTTGCCATAAGTAGGAATGAGACTCAAGGCTTGTATGTAGCCTTAAGCATGTTAGAGTGACAGGTAGGACTTGGATCTGTAATTGGTGTGGTTTCTATTTCTAGCCCGTGAAAAAGAACTGTCTAGTGTTCTGACTCGTCGTTTCCCACCTGCGGGGTCTCTGTAGGTACATCTGAAAGGAACTGATGGTTCTACTTTGCTACAGGGTAGCAAAAGGCAACAGCAATTTAAGCATACTGATTGTGTGCATTTGTTCTAGACCCCTTGATGCAATCACACTTTTATCTCTATGAGATAGCCTGTCAGGTGCTTTCCAATAGTAAAGTGAATTTTGGTATGAGTGGCTGCAGTAGGGCTTTACAGATCCTTAAGAACTGCATTTTGGCGGGAATACATTTTTGTAACTGAATTGGTTCTAAATAATTCACCTGTAGGCTTTTGTCACAAAGGAGCTGCATTTTCTAGCTCATAGGATTGATTTTCTAAATAGGAATTTATGGTTTTAGTGTGAGATCTCATTTAAAACCTGCCTAAGGTTTCTTGAAAAATTTAAGTTAGCATTATAAATGGTTGGATATAGTGCTGTTAGGTTTCATCAAATTGAACTTAAAATTAACATTTTGGTCTTACATACTTTGTAGAAGGCACAAGGTGTATCAAATTTATTAACTAGTTTCTTAGTGTTCGTAGTTTAGGTTCTATGTCTAGACACAGGTTTATGCATTTAACAACTCCTAAGTTCTTAAGTATTGTAAGATAACTCTGAAACCTAAAATTTTCTTTTTAGCTCTATTGTAGAAGCCATACAGTTTTGAAGATTTTTTTCAAAAGTAAAAGATTAAGAGTAGTCTGTTCGAGTAGTTCTGTAGTGTTTTAAATTGAAATTGTAGGAACAGTTAAAGCCTGGTGCCATTTTTATTTTATTATTTTTTTATTTTGAGTAATGACCAGTAACTGGGTTCTTTTGAGTAGAATTGTAAGTGGAAAGCCTGTAGGGTTCTGTTGTTAGGATATGTGGGTTTTATTTTACTTTGTGTTTACAGTGAAAGGACCTAAAACTGGATGAGGAGTGAAGTCACTCACTGCTTTATTGCAGTCCCCCTAGCTCGGGGAATAGGCTGTTTTGTTGGGAGATAACCTGAAACATGGAATCATAACCAAGTGATAGTGTACTTTCCAAAACTATGAAAAAGTTGGACTTTTGAAGTAGTTGGGCTGTGTATTGTGTTTGTAACAATGCAGAAACATACTGTGCATGTAAGTGTCTGGTTTATAGTGATGGCTCTGAAGTGTGGTATGCCTGTGAGACTGTGGCAACATGAGTTTTTGATCAAGTCACTGTGCCGGTTAAGTAAAAATCTATTAGTTTTTTGTGCTTTTTCTTTTTTGTAGTCCGGTAGCATTTTATTAAGCTTCATTCCAACTTTTTAAGATTTCTGCAACTTTGCAGATGTGTCTTAAGATCTTGAAAAGCACAAGGTTTCTTATGCAGCACATGCCACTAACTGGTGAGTAGGTCTTTGTCACTTCTTGAGTGAGTTGCTTTTTGTCTGATTGAGCTTCTTATGGTTGGAGATGATTTTCTGTTCATACCTGGACAGGTGTTTCAGTGGATTAATCTGATGTGAATTTCTTAGAACTCATTTTCGAATGGGTTTTCACATCTGCACTAATTAAATTTTTTAGCACTACAGGGAAGATCTATTCTCTGAAACAGGTGTATGAGAATGGCTCAAGTGGGAACATACCACAAGGCATGTATTACCGTAAACTAATTTTCAAATTACCCTTTTTTCCTTTCTATGTTCCCGGTACCTGTGGATCGACTCATTGGTGATTGTATCGACGAACGTTGACTACGGAACCTTCTAAAATATTTACTTAACACACATGGACATCAACTACATTTAATGAACTGTTAATTTACTGTTCCAATAGCGTACTGAGCGCTTTGGGCAGGGAGGTGCGGGTCCTGTGGGTGGACAGGGTCCTAGAGGAATGGGGCCTGGAACTCCAGCAGGATATGGCAGAGGGAGAGAAGAGTATGAAGGGCCAAACAAAAAACCCCGATTTTAGATAGCTAGGCTTTCATTCCAGTTTGTTTTTGTCTTTTCTTGTTTAGATACCACTTTTAAATTCTTGCATTTTAGTAAGAAAGCTACCTTTTTATGGATGTTAGCAGTTTATTGACCTGATATTTGTAAATGGTCTGTTTGGGCAGGTAAAATTATGTAACGCAGTGTTTGAAACAGGAGAAAACAATTTCTTTTTATTTACTTTTTTTTTTAACTGTATAATGTTTCTCAAGTTAATGGCAGTGTACCTTGTGCCACTGAATTTCCAAAGTGTACCATTTTTTTTACTGTGCTTCGAATAAATAGAAAAATAGTTATACTGATCTTCAACTTTGCCATTCATGCTTCTCTGCACATTAGGCTAGGTATTCCCACTTGGAAAGCATGAGCGTGTCTAGGCCTTTGAGTGGCATATGCCATTTCTGGGAAATGTATCTGGAGGCTAAATATTCTTTCTACAAATGGTGGCCCCCCGCCCTGTTTTAAAAAGAAATGCATATTGAAGTAGTTAGATTTGTTTGGCATTATAGGAAGCAAGCTGGTGCTAAGCATTTTTAAATGGTTATGTTAGAAAAGTTGAACTGTAAATCTTAATTCAGGAACATGTACTAAGATTATGGAATGGGTATAAACTACTGGTAGCAAGAGAAAGGGGGGCGGGTTAAATGATCCCTTATGGCCCTATCTATCTATGATCCTTTCCTTGAAAGCTTTTGAGAATGGAAAGATCATATCATTGCATTTCCCCTATTGTTTTGTTTTAAATGAATAAATCCCAAGCCCTACAATTGGCTTGTACTGAACTTTTGCATTTGAATTAAAGATTGTTAAACATGAAGCCTTTTCATGTATTACTTCAAGTGATTTAAAAGATGGGATTTAGTCTGGAATTTTAACTTGAAGAGTTAAGGGTTAGTTGTTAATTATAAGGTACGTTTAGCCTTATGTACTCCTAAACATACACCTCCTTGTGCTATTGAGCAAAATCTGTAGTCTGAAAAATGTATTGGTTCTTTTAAGAACTAGTGGTGACTGTTACCAAGTAGGGCTGCCAATAACCATTCTCATCTATGGAGTTGACCTGGTTATACCATTCTTTTTAACGTAGCACTAAACCTGGAGAGAGTTGGTCAGGCTACATGGGATAAATACTCTTTCCTCCACCGTAAGCTTAGGGGTGTTTCGATGATGTTAGTTGATTATCAACTTCATTGAATTTCCTTTCACTAGAACAAGAGACTTTCTGACTTAATAAAGTAGATTGTTTACTGTTGTCTATGAGTATAATGGGAGCTTGATTTTTCTTCCCAGTGTAAATATGTTAAGAGAAGACTTCTAACAGTACTAAAGTAATTGAATGGCTTGGCTCTGTTCTTAGTTACATTTCCATTCAAGTCTATACATTATAGAACTTTCACTATGGAATGTCTTCATCCTTTTCACCTCTATCCTTGGTGCTAATTGGCAAAAAATTCTAAATCACTTGCTGAGGTTGAGTACTGTGCTTGAGTACAAAAGGAGACCTATTGTGGAAACAATTGAGTTCTTCATGAATAGGAAAATACCGTAATTTTTTTAAAAAGTAAACACTAGTGGATTATAAGAAGCATGTCACCAAAATGGTTTTATGACTGACAGGTATATGGTGTATTAAGGGAGAAAAATCTACTTAAAAAATAGATTAATTTTTCTTCACCAGTACACTTGGAAATAGGTAGTTCCATCATAATTTTAGCAATCAGAAAGTTTTTGGCCCAAGTGAAGTTAATAATTGGTGATATATAAAGGTTTTCTGTACGGATACAAAGATCTGGATTTGAAAGGAGCTCATTTGGTTGAATTGTATAGTAGGGACTTGAGGGGTGTTCATGGGACACCCATGGAGGGTGAGTTTGAATGTATGTGGGTGGGGGCTGGAGGGGGAATGGGAAAATCTGCCTATAAAATTAATGTTTCAGTTTATTTTTCAGATTACATGCCTTTCTTTATAAGGGATGCTGGCACAGACCCCTAAAATAAGCTTTTGGTAGTAGTATACTACAGAGTGGTGAAGGATGCTTACAGGAGAACTTGAGATTGTGGCTTTTGATAGCCTTTATTGTGGGCTGTAGAGCTGCTAAACCGTGTTTAGCAGATAAGGTTGCATAGTGTCAACCGACCGACACTGACTTTGATCAGTGTACCAAGGGTTGTAAGCTACTGAGACTTTCCATGAGTCTTACATGTGATGGTTTTAGCCTAATAGTGAATTGAAATTATCTTGAGCAGTTGAACCAAAAGCTAAAAAGGAAACTTAGGGTGGGAGGGGAAGATAACAGGACGTATTTTAGACATTCTCCCTTGGAAGAAATCACCTGCCCTATTTCCTCCTTCACATCCTCAAAATTTTTTGTTTGCAGGGTATCCTTGTAAAAATATCTCCTTAAAGTTTCATTCTCTAAGACAAATTTATTTAATAGACATATGCTACAAGCTGAACCCATTGACATACATTATGTGGTGAGACCATATTTTTTTGTCCGTAGGACATTAAATTCCTAAGTACTTTAAGACCCACCACTCTTTATGTGTGTTGTACCACTAATATAAAGAGATAATCTGGGAAAATTGTAATGTTACACCTGTGCAGTTCTTACAAGTGGCATATCATGGTAGATAAAATTTAGGTACTTGGCTTGGGCAAGCCACAAAGTTGTGGCGAAATGTTTTGTGGTGTTCTTGGACTGCAATTGTGCACTATTAAAGTAGTGGCCTGCTACATAACTGCGTTTAGCCAGCATTTCTGCAGTGCGTAACTGTGAGGAACGTAGTACCGCAAATGGCAATGGACATTAGGACCCGGATGTAGTATTCCTGCTTGCTCCAAGATTCTCATTGCCGACTGCATACAGGTAGGTAACAAGCAATATAATCTAACTTGGTGACTTGCTATGTGCTTTTATTCAGTGGGCATTCTGACATCACACTTCTGACAGTGAAATAACAGTGCAGCACCTGATACTTGTAAAATAAGCTAGGTTAATTCAAAATCTGGGTCTGGGGTTAGATCTGTAATTTATTAGGAAGAATTCAGTGTTGTTGGAGATCTCAGAAAAAATGCAAACTTGAATCTTTGGTGTGTCTTGGAAGTTTTGTGGTTTTCTTTAGTTACACTGTAACTGAAGATACAATGGAGCACATCTGGTGGGGGGAGGGGAGCCAACCAAACCATGCTTGACCTGGGGTGCTCATAGCACCTTGATGAAGACTGTAGTCTGTGATAATTAGTCTCCTTGGTAGCAAACTTGACCTCCCATTGGTCGGCAATGTCTAATTTCATTATGCAATCTTGGTCATTGTTTTGCAAGTTGATTAAATCAAGACTAAATGACACAGGGTGGGGGTATGTTTTTTTCTGTCTTTTTTTTTTTTTTTTGTAATGTGATAAAATTTTTGTAGGTGTGGGCTTCATGGGAACACTTGTTACTAACTTGGGCTTAGATGGGAATCTTATGAATAGTTCACATTATGTGGCTTGTCTTTGAGTATGTTTATCCTCTAAACTTGGGGGAAAGTAGTGTGAAACACTGACTTCCTGCAGTTGAAACCATGGGGAATCGTTCCCTGTCATAGGACTTCGTCGTATTCTGCAGAATGAGTGCATTTGTTCAGAGTAGCTCTTCCTTCCTAGTGTAGGGATGGGGTTGATGACAGTCCAAAATGTTAATAATCACAGGAGTACATGAGTCTTCAAAGCATTTTCCTTTGTTGCTTAGGACTTGAGCTTTCTATCAGCTGTTGTTGTAGACCTCACTTCAGTTTAACCTTGGTGTTTAGGTAGCATGCATGAGAAACAGCTTCCACTCATAATGCTTTCTGTTCTATAACTGGAAAGTTTGGTTCATTTTGCATACGTGCCGCTGAAAACTTCAGGACTGTGAGAATTTTCTTTTACTGTATCAAGAAAAATGGCTTGCTTTTGGTCAGGCAAGTCAGATGGTGGGGCAGATTTGTATTTACTCCAAACAACCAACTTGTGATTACTGACAGATGAAAGCAATGGTGACTTAGCTCCTTATACCATACAAACCATACAGTGTGACATGAGTATCACTAACCTACCTGGAACCCTGATGGGGACATTGCAGGGTCATAGTCTGTTAAATCGGTAGCACAGGCTTGCTACCGTGGCTCAGTTAGCGATTTTGAATGTTAACAAGAGCTCAGGCTTATTCTTTTGAATAGTAACAACTTTTGCAGAGAATATACTTGATAAAATATATGGACTTAGGGAATTTGGGGTGGGGTTATTTTTCTTCCCTTTGGTCTGCTTTAAGATTAGGCTTTTGTACTTCAGAATGAGAAACCACTGACTTTTATGTAGATTTCTGCTAGTTTAATTTGTATGTAGGTGTAAATTGTGAATATTACAGTACATTGGGATTTTAAAACACTAAAAAAAATGGGAATTAAATGGGTTCCAGTAATACTGAGGTGCTTGCATTGTATTTCATAATCTTGTTGCAACCAAAATAATTGTTTTTTAAATGAAAACCTATGTTCAGAGGTGTGGTGCCAGAATGTATTATTATCATCGTACTGTTAGGCCCTTGGAGCAGATCCCGGTGCTTTCTGAAAGATGAAAGAGATGTAATGGGTGCTCTTGATACAAGGCTGCTTGCAGCCTCCCAGCAATGCATACTCTCACTCTCCCTAATGAAGAGATGTGTGTGATTAGTTTTGGACTTTAACCTTAATGGGGTGCATGTCTCCATTGTTAATCATTGTCAGCTGCAGTGACATGATCCACAGTCCCTGCATTACTGCTGCCTTTGTGTTAATGATTTTGGATAGGTCTTAGAGCTCTGGGGTGTTTGTTCTGAGCCTTTTCTTGGTTTCGGCTTTAGCTGATAATGTTTAGTGCTGTCTAGCTAGTGTAGTTCTCAAATGGCTCCCTACTAGGGAGAGAATCCAGAGGATTTAACTCTCCTTATCATCTGTCATTGCTGCTAGATAATGATTGGCAATTTTTTAGACGCAAATGTGGAAATCTCAACAGCTGTTGGTGAACAACAAATCATAAAATGTTTTTGAACACCAGTGCTGGAGAAAAAAAAAATGAAGGTGAAAAGAGCCTGGACATAGAATAGGAATAATTGGAGAATGGGGAAAGAATGCAAAACAATATAGTATCCCTTATGGATGGTCCATGTGCAACAGAACTAGTGCATATATATACACCTGCGGCAGTAGTGATACAGGGAGGAAGAAAAACCTGGAACCTGAATTTAAGGCTGAGCTTTCTGTTTCTTGTGCACTGTGCCAGGTATATAGTGAAGGCCATTGACTCTTTCTCAGAAAAACTTTCCTTGCTGTTGGAGTAAGGCATAGCTTCCCTGCCCTAACTGAAACACAGTGAGGACTTGGAGAGCAAAGATGGAGGCAAACATAGGCTTGCAGGGTAAAGACTGCAGTGTTGTGTGCTGTGGGAAAAGGGTCAAAGCACTCTGGAGGTATTCTGCCGAAGAGAGAGAGACAACCAATTGACTGGGGAAGCGGTATGTTGCTCAGTCAGGTAGACGTTGGCACACACCTTCACATAAGGGATAGTATATTTTGGGTGCAGTCAAACTTCATTGTGCTCAGACTGGTGAAACTAGAAATGAGGCTTTTGCATTTTAAAGAAGATAGTTTTCATCCTAATTCTGTCATCTACTTATTACTTACAGAAAGAATAATTTTAGATTCCCCCCATAAAGTTTCTTCCTTTTTTTTTTTTTTTAAATGCTACAACTTATTCCAGTCTTTAATCTCTGGAATTTTGCTCTTTTAAATTTGGAAGTTAACTAGCATTTTTTT